GTTTCCCCCTGCCACATCAAACTTAAAAAAGACTTCGTACATTTCAGATGTACGTTGGTATAAACGCTGCTCGTGATGCGTGAACGCCATTTGGGTAGAATTAAGTACTTCCCTATATCACGTGATATTCAGTGACGAAATAAATTCAAGTTGAATAGACCTGTTGGACTAATGTGTTTATGATCTGATATGTGGAAGGGCTTTAGTGGTGAGTTTTGAAATGAATAATTCGAGGTGCTATTTCCGCGAACTTCAAGTCAAGACTGTTGGTTCTCAAAGCGAAGGAAGTTTCTCATCCATGATTTCCGTCTTACTGCGATTCCGGAACATTGGCAAATGTCTACCCTTTTTTCAAAAAGATCGTGGTTGGAATACGCATTTACATATTGTTCAGATAATCATGTCAGTGATCAACCCATTCAGAGCCCTGATTCGAACCACATTGAAAATGGTTGGGGTTTGTTGGCGAGAAACCTTTATTACCACCGGCAAACTGAGACGTAGGATCCTCATCACATTTTTGTAATGTGAACTCAGGCCAAACTGATAGCTTATTGTGCCTATGCTTGAGTGGAGTTTTCCAGTGCTGAGCACTCAAACTCGCTGCCGTGGACCACTTGAAGCCATTTTTTTCTAATTTAGTCGGGAGATGTGCTGAAGATATCTCGCATCCTTCACGCACATTATCGTGCTTGGAATTGGTTGTCCAAAGCCCGAGTTGACGTCCTTACAGAAGACCAATCTGTTAGTGGCACAGTACATCGGTCTATCGGTCCCGATGAATTCCGGAGCGCCAATAGTTTGTTTTTTTGCCGTTTCAGGTTTGAACATGATGGTTATTTAGCGATATGGGACACTTACCAGGAGGTATGGGAGCTGTAATCCGCCTTTGTCACCTACAGTGAATACTTCATAGAACTGGACTTTTAGGAATTCGGCTGCTTCAGAAGTAGTAGTGGAAGCGCGTCCTGCATGCTATAGTGTCGGTATTCCGTATTTCACTTTGAGCTTTGAATGCGGAGTCCACTAGTTACAACGTGTTCAACTTGATCAGCTTTGTAGACACAACTGACACTTTCCCAGTGCAGACTGACGAGTTAGATTTTGAGGCTGCATGATACTTTCTTGGGGTGCAGATTTCTATCATATATTCGAATATCGTCAGGTGTCCCTTACAGATAAGGGAAGCTCGTGGATTGCATTCATCGTTATATCCTCACACAACTCATCAATGGTGGACATGTTGGGAACATAAAAGACTCCCTAACAGGGCCTCCTCCTAAAACCTCAGTATGGTCGGGGGTGGGTATCTAGTGTTGCGGCTGGTCACCCTCCCCGTGCACCTCACGAAAGGCGATGACCAAGCGTCTCAAATAGCTTCTGCTTAGGAATTCCTACCCGCTGCCTTCTCGTGAGAGGACGAAAATCCGATGTCCGGGGCTACAACCGGGTTGGTGGACCACTGGAAGTTCACCCAGGGTAGTTGGCTAAAAACCCTGATTCAAAACCAACCATGAGGAGACGTACCAACCACAATCACATCTTTCCGGTTGTGGCAATGGTCACCGGCTCGATTGGGCATTGAGGTGTATTAGGCACCTTGGATGTCTGATCCCGTCCGAAAGGCGTATGATCCAATGAACTGGACACCGGCTCCCAATGGATTGCGGTTTTCACACACCGCTCCGCTATGTTGTGCGTCAGGCTTTGGCTAGCCGAAGGCTCCGGTTGTGAATTCCTAAAGAAAACTCACCTACCTTGGCCTGGGCAACTTGGCAGTATTCATCCCACAAGCCAATCATAAAACGTTCTTTTATAAAGACTATTGTAGCATGATTTTTTTGGCACACCGTCTAGCCCCAGACGAGTGTGAAGCATAAGATGATAATAATATTCTGATGAATGCCCCGTTACCCTTGGAGTTTCACTGGGTTACTACGTACTTGGTCTCCGACTTTTCCTCACATTCATAATTGATCTACTGAATGCTCTAGTGCCAAAATCAATATGGTTTGCAGACAACGCCAGCATTTTGTTTGCCTATGGAGAAATCAGTTCACTTCGACTGGAACGGAGTTTGATAGACCCGGCCCAATTTGTGACAGGTGATGGCAGAAGAACCAATCACCTTTTGGGGTTCCTGGTCGAATGCGATTGATCAGCTTCACTTAAAGTCACAACAAACTCACTTGAAGTTTAAAAGTTATAGACCCCGAGTTTCGCTTTAGTAGATCTCATTATTAGTGTATATCCACCACCCCATCGGGGTTTTGAACTCCAGACCTATCGCATGGACGTTGTGTGTTTCAATTGTGCCAACCTACTCACACCAGGACTAAACCGCATAACCATTTCATTTTTGTCATCTCGTTTGTAAGGG